GAGAATACCTGGGGAGGGAGGGGAAGGGAGAGAAGAGGTATGGCTAGAGAAAGGAAAGGAGGGGAGAGTATCACTCACAGACCTAAAAGCAACACAGAGAAGAGAGGAAGAGGAGGGGAGAGCAGAGAAGCAGGAGGAAGGGAGGAGAGGGAGAAGCACAAAAACCTAAGTGAACTTGCCACTGCCCAGTTAAAGGAGCCCAAGGCCTAGGCAATCAGTATTTAGAAAAAGACCTCAGGCAGGCTGCAAAGACACCCGGAGGCCAGGAGGGCCAGGGATTGAATGCCCATCCTGCCTTACCCTAGTGACCTGGGGGCACACCTTGTGGTCTCATTTCCCTGGCCCTACACAGCCAAGTCATGCTCCTGAGGCATGGTGGCCTCTGAGGAGCCCAGTAGGGAAAGCAGGAACTGGCACTGTGAGGAATGTCAGCGCTTTCCCACTGTCTTTCTCAGAAAACAGCTGAGACTCCCTTCCTAGAAACTCTGTCCCTGGAGAAGGAGCTTCTGGGAAGGCTGCATGTGGCCAGGCCTGTGGGGAGAACCTCTGGGAGCAAAGGCAACTGAGCTGCCTTTTGCCCAGTGCTTTTAGGAAAATCTTCCTTCTCCAGGCTGATGCTTCCAAGGGACACCTTCCAACTCCAAGACAAAGCGATTGGTACGATAAAAACAATAACAAAAGTTAAAAAAAATTTAAAGTAAAAACTAAATAAGCAACAGTAACAAGGACAACAACAAAAACTTTTGTGTGCACAATGCACAAGGAAGGAAGGTCAAGCAAGTGTTCAGCAGACAGTGGGACGTTGAGAGTCTCATCTTGGGGGGCATGGCTCATCTGAGGCTACTGTACCCCAGGAGCATGAACTGAAGTGTGTGAACGGAAAGGGGGTACATGGTCCCAGGAATCAAGAGTCATGGTTTTGCACCTGGTGCCCTGGTCAGGGAAGAGAAGTTCTACCGTTCTAGATAATGAAAATTACAGCTGCCCGGAACAGCATTCCAGCAAGAAGCACAGCATGGACAGGGAAACGGGCTGGTCTGTCACAGGGCCCAGGAAGAACCTGGACATCACCTCTTACAACAGTGACATTCACTCATTCGCACATTTCCCAATTGCCTACTTTGGGAGACAAATCAATGATGAATTCATAGGAATCTTGTTAGGATGGGAAGGGAGAGACATACAGAAACCCTGAAGGGAAATCTGCCTATGTGTTGGCATCTGGAAAGTTCCCTGAAGAAGAAAGAGATAGACATGGTGGAGTCCAACGCACAGGTGGTCTTCCAGTGAAAGGAGACAGCAGAAACAGAGGCCCAGGTCTGAGGAGGAGGGTGGTGAGCATGACGGAAATGCAGGGGACCCTAAACCCTTTGCACGGAGGTGATACATCTGTAAAGGAGGGTGACTTTTCTAGGGACATTCACTAGGATTCGGGAGTCTACTGTATCCTGGCCTCTTGCAGAGTGCTAGCCTCTGGATTTTCCAGAACCATCCTGCAGCAGCTAGAGGAAGGACTTCCCAGCACCCCACAACCTTGCATGGCAAGAGTTCTGGGCCTGTCTGAGCAAGCAGCTGCCAAATGGCCTTTTCATCTGGTCACAGGATCTCACAAGGATGTCCTTCTACCACCGCTGCAAAAGCAAAAAGGAGAAACTTCAAACTCCTTCAGCAGGTCTGGCCAGCTAGACTATGGGATGCCCACCGCAGGGAGCACAGTCTGCTCTTAAATAGATGAGTAGGTAAAGCTACACGGAAACATCTCTAAGAGGCTTTGTCACGTGCGGAGAAGTGAAACACAGACCATTGCAGCAGACGACCAGGTGCTGAAATGTGCAAGGTTGTGCAGGGGGTTGGGAAGGTGAACCCGAATGGAAACTTCCTGCTCATGGGTCAGAAAATGAGGGTGCCAGGCAGAGGGGAAGGTCTAGAGATTTCCCTTTCTCTACTTCTTAATGAATTCCTCATAAATTACCGACAGTGTGTGTGTGTGTGTGTGCGTGTGTGTGTGTGTACACATGTGCAATGCACATTCGTGTACGTATGAGAGAGATCAGAACTTAGTGACAGGGATTTTCCTATGTATTTAAACCTGGAACTTACTGACTGGCACCATCTCTGTGTCCCCACAGCTAGATTCAAGACACAAGCTGCCACATCAGCTTTTTATGTGGCTGTAGAGATCGAACCTCCTGCCTGCATATCAAGATTGTGAAATCGCCTGCAGTGTGTGTGGAAGCATTTGGTCGCTGGCTATTTGGGAGGTTGTGGGACTGGACGGAGTTTAGCAGGAGGAAGTAGGTGACTGGGTGGGGGTGGGAGCCTCTCTCCTTCCTGACCATCCATGCCACGTAAGCAGCCATTTCAAACTCACTACCACAGTCACAAACCTCTCTTGTGCAACCATGATGGATCATGTCCCCTTGAACTGTGTGCTAATAAAGCTTTGCTCCTTTTGGTTGCTTCATCCAAGTTCTTTTTAGATTTATTTTAATTTACATGAGTGTTTGCCTAAATGCATGTAAGTGTACTATATGCATGTCTGGTGCCCTCAAAGATCAAAAGGCATCGGGTTCCCTGGACCTGGAGCTACAGATGTTTGTAGCCACCAGGTGGGTGCTGGGAACATAATCTGGGTCCTCTGCGAGAACAAGTGCTGGTAACCACTGAGCGATCTCCCTAGCCCATTCCCTGGTGACATAAAAAGCAACTCATATCGTAAAATAAGACTTTTTGTACAAGTCTAAAAAGGTAGGCTTTTTTTTTTTTTTTTGGTTTTTCAAGACAGGGTTTCTCTGTGGTTTTGGAGACTGTCCTGGAACTAGCTCTTGTAGACCAGGCTGGTCTCGAACTCACAGAGATCTGCCTGCCTCTGCCTCCCAAGTGCTGGGATTAAAGGCGTGCGCCACCTTTTAACTAATAAATAAAAGCCATTTTCTAAAGCCAGACTTAGCTCTGCCGCTTCGCACTGAGAACATTGGGGAAGCCATTCCACTTCTAGCCTGTTTCTTCTTCTGTTGGATGAGGGGCACAACTGGTAACAGTGAGGTAGGGAGGGGATGAAAACGACACTCATGCTCAAAGGCAGCACATCACACGTAGACAATGACAACCACTCAGTCGCTGCCAGCTTCACTATCTGTACAGGAGGCTAACAGCCTTCATCCTTCACATGAGAATGAGACAGAAGCTGCTCTCTGTAATAGCAGCCACATCAACAGTGGACACCTAATGCTCTTCCAGCACTAAGGCCACTACCCAGGTTCAGATTGACCCTTGGCTAAAATGAGCCACTGCTCATTTCTTGTCTGCCCATGTCCTCTCTGCAGTCAGCCCTGAAAGTCTAGAACACTCAGAGCCACAGAAGTAGGATCATCATGAAGACCTGTCCTGTTCACAGGAGACAGAGGTCAGCATCTCGGCATCTGGACTCACTACCCACTGTCTTTCCTTGGTCACAGAGCTACAAAGGCATCAATAGGAGGAGCCACTGACCTGAGGGCAAAGCAAGGTAACTGACCTAGGGGATAACAACAGATGGCTCTGCCATCACCAAGAGAGACAGCAGAGTTTGTGGGACTGCCGACAGGAGAACGTTCAACCAGAGCTACGCCATCAGTGAAATGAAACTGATCCCAAGTATCTGGACCCAGATGCTTAAGGAAAACAGAAACAGGAGGAGTGTGCCAAACAGCTCTACCCAGAGATGCTATCAAGTCAACTCAAGGGTAAAAGTCCAAGACGGAAAGCCAGTGTTCTCCGTAAACTAACTGCAGGGGAAAGAGAAACAAACAAGGAAGGACCCAACAGACAGTCCCAAAGGCAGCACGGTGGAATGGGGAAGGCTGACAAAAGAAGAAAGGGTTAACATTTTATTTCCAGTAGAGAGGATGACCAATCTCCAGAGACAAACTGCTAGGATGTCTGCACAACATTACTGAAATGTCTGCCTAAAATGGTTGGGATCATTTAGCTGTATCTTACCATCACTGTTACGTTATGAGAAAGAAACCTAAGAGACAATCAATAAATTACAATATCTGAGCCTCATGTGTATCACAGATTTTAAAATTGAGACAGTTGGACATTTGGACACTAATATTTGCTGCAGTAAAGGATTTAGTGGAGGTAAGGAGTAAGAAAGGTATGACATTTGTATTTTTACTTTTAGACATATATAGTGATGTCCAAAGATGAACTAGTACTTAGTATTTGACTCCCATACACAGAAGAGGAAACAGGACATGGTAAATTGAAATGGAACTGGCTATGGCTGGTGAAAGTTGAGTCTGGGGAAAGGACACTTGAGAGTGCATACCACTTACCTGCTGATCCTCGGAACTCAGAGTTCTGCACGGAAATATTTTAAATGAAGATGATGTTATGATGTGTACGCATGGAAGGACCAGCATCCAAATTCCTATATCACAGCCCGCAATGATATAATACAGGAAACAAGTGAATGTCTAAAGGACATAACTGATGCTAGGCTGTGTTTCATCAGAAACAGAATGATGGGGCCAAGGAAATGACTCAATGAGCAGTTCTAAACCTGGGGTGCCTGTGGGAGATGAAATTACTACCTCCTATGGAATTCCAGAATTCCCAGCTTGGCCCCACAACAAACAATAACAAGAATATCAACAGAGTGGGTGGAAAGGCCTATAACTGAGCCTATACGGGATGCTCCTCAAACCAAACTACTGAACAAAGCCAAGCAAAAAGAAGCAACAAAGAGATCACAGACATGCACTGTGGAGGGACATGGCATGTGTCTGCTGCCCAGCACACGCGGACATGGAGAGGCTGGAGAGAGCATACTCTACACGGTGCGAGGACTACCTCTTTCATTCCATGCCCGCACTTTCCTGCGTCGCTGGCACCATCAGGAATGAACTGAAGCAGCAGCAAGACCGAGTCACAGAGGCCTGGTGCCCACAGTGAGGGCGGGCAGAGGCAGATGGCAGGGCAAGGACCTGCCTGGTGGGGTGGGGAGCACTTACAGGACCTCGGAGGTCGATCAGCTCTTGCCTCATCTGGGATACCAGGGCTTCTTTGGCCACCAGGGCCCGGTGTAGACGCTCGTTGAACTCAATCAGCTCCCCATGCATCTCAGCCACCTGAAACAGGCAGGAAGGACACTGTCAGGCTCAGGAGCAGCCTTGTCCACGCTGAGCTCCTGCTTCTCTGCAGCCTCCTTCCTGGCAGGATGCAGAAAGACATCAGCTGGAGACCAAAGTGTGATGTACCCAGCATCAGGCAACCCTCTGTGAACTGGGTGAGTTTATGGTCCAAAGTGACAGTGCTGGACCGTCGCCAAACCTTAACAACACTTTTCTACCAAGGGTTGGTTTGTTTTGTATTCGGAGTTTTGATTGTCAAGAAAGTTTCTGCTGGGGCCGGAGGTATAACTCAGTGGTAGAGTGACTGCCTATCATCCATGAAACCCTAGGTTCAACACTAGCAATGCAAAGATAAATTAATAATTATGATGCCCCAGCTAGAGGTGCAATGGAATACATGCCATTCTCCTCAGTGAGTCCTTGGTTTCAAGTGAGAAAAGGGAAACAGGTTCTTTCCTAACCACTGTGACACACACTCAGCAGCACCACTGTAGACACAGTGACTCAGACTCAGCAGCACCACTGTAACCACGGTGACACACACTCAGCAGCACCGCTGTAACCACGGTGACACACACTCAGCAGCACCGCTGTAACCACGGTGACACACACTCAGCAGCACCGCTGTAACCACGGTGACACACACTCAGCAGCACGGCTGTAACCACGGTGACACACACTCAGCAGCACCGCTGTAACCACGGTGACACACACTCAGCAGCACGGCTGTAACCACGGTGACACACACTCAGCAGCACAGCTGTAACCACGGTGACACACACTCAGCAGCACGGCTGTAACCACGGTGACACACACTCAGCAGCACGGCTGTAACCACGGTGACACACACTCAGCAGCACGGCTGTAACCACGGTGACACACACTCAGCAGCACCGCTGTAACCACGGTGACACACACTCAGCAGCACCGCTGTAACCACGGTGACACACACTCAGCAGCACGGCTGTTGCAGCCACCACTGTCTCCACATCAGAACAAATCTTTTCCATGCTCTCTGTGAGCTTCTTGGCAAAAGCTCTGAGAGGCTTGTGTATTGGTCCCACCTTCCAGAGAGAGAACTAGCACTAAGGAGCTTCGAGGGCCTGCTCTAGGCTGTGAAGGAGGGAACATCAGAGCTCTGCTGCATGCTAGGATCCTACAACTACACCAGCCCCCACATGCAGCTGGCCAAAACGCTATCCCTGAGCCCTGCAGGAAGACCCCTGTACACGCAGCCTCACCCAGCCTGGTTGCTGCCTCCTAACAGAGCCCTCCCATGCCCTGAACTCACAGAGCATTACTACCTGCTTAGATACATACAGTAACACCAGGCTATTTAACACAAGAATCCAACATGATATATAAAAGATACTGCCAGAGTACCAGAGGAGGGAAGGACACAGGCAGAAGCTTCCACGGAGGGCTGAGGACACTATCCTGAGTCTCACCTCAAGGAACAAAAGCAAGCCCCACTACTTATGACAAAGTAAAATATAAAGCAGTGTGAAGTCCAAGAAGGTTTCTTGCCATTCTTTCTGCTCTCTTATGTAAGCTTCTTAGTAATGAGCATTCTTCCCTTCTTCAGAGAGAAAGGAAGGCATTCTTTAACTAAGTCCGTTAAGGAGTTGAAATGCCAAGAGACACATGACCGTGCAGTCAGTGAGCCTTCCCAGGCTTCCTCCTTCCTTTTCCTGGGTGATCCATGATGGAGCTAATTTTCAGTACGTATGCATGCATGCATGCATGTATGTATATATCCATTGACTCTTTGACAATTCTACACATAGAACACATTCTGTTCATCTGATGCTTCCATCTAGTTGCTCTGGGGACTCCTTCTTTATGGTGTCCTATATCTTCAACATGCCAATCTCACCAAGGATATGAAACATTAAGTCCAAATGGCAAAGACACCTTAAGAGAAAGCATTAACGAAGTGGTGGGCCACTGTTCCTTTCAGCATTCCTGTGCTTGCAGAAACCAAAGATCAGTTTTCCCCACTTATTCTTCACAAAACTTAAGTTATCTCATATTCAACACACACACAGTATCACCAACAACACCTGAAGACCCTCCCCATGGAGGTCATGTGACCTTCCAGCCTTCCTCAAGACAAGCAGGAAGTCCACAGCTGCAGCCTTGGTGCTGATGGACCTGCTACAGTGCTCCCACAAAATGTGGGCTTCAAACAGGTGCTGCGGCCATTTCTTCCTGAAAGGAGGAGTTCCACGGTTTTGTTGGGTTTACTGTAGGAGTCAGCGCTACAACACTATTCCACAAATGCTTACAGTATCAAACCACCAGGGTTCCAGGGTGTTCACTGTGAGCTGTCAAAACCCTGCCCCCCTTTTGTGCCACAACCATGATTGACCAGACCTGACAAGGCTTGCCAATGGGACCAAGCAGACAACACTTGACTGGAATAATCTCACCGTGAAGCTAGGTCTTCATTGCTACCAGGCTGATTTCACTTGGAGTTTTAGAAAGCATATTCCTACACACAAGCACTCAGACAGTTCACATTCTGTGTGGGCCATGTGAGCTCCCTGCTTCTCAAATAACTCTTCCCAACCCCAAATACAACTAGAAACAACATCAGAACTCAGAGGACCTCAGAAGAGAGACGAGTCACAAATAGACCCCACTGTCACTAACGGTAGGCCATGAAATCACCATCTCCTGGACCTATGGCTTGGGGATGGCACCTTCTTTACCACAGACTGGGCTTAAGAGAACAGATGCCCTCCAACCCACTCCCCTCAAGCGGACACCATGTCCCTCTCATAGACACATCACATTCTCACCTGCCCCACGATAAAATCCACACTCTCTCCCTCACTCCACTTCTCACTCTCGCTCCTTGTAACATGGCTGGGCCTGACAGTCATGCCGAGCTGTAGAAGTCACCCTGCAGACAGAGAGAGGGGCCTATGCACCTGAGGCCAAGCATCTCAAAACTGAGATGCAGATGCTCAGCTATTTGGCCATGATGAAGATGTGAGGTGATGCCAGCTCACAGAATGGCAGTAGGACTGAGGCAGGGTCTCACCCAGTGAGACCCTTCGCATGACAGGCCAAGAGACATGGAGCAGGGGCCAGAGAAGAAGGCCCGGAGAAGTCAAATGGGAGAATGCCACAGAAGGAACTGGAACACACTCAGGAGGCTAAAGGCTGCTCAAAGCGAGACTGCCGTATTGTTAACTGACTGCTGGCATCATGGTAAGTGCTGAGGTAGGATGGCAGGAGGAACACATAATTGTCTCCTTTGATGTTTGGCCAGATGAATCATGGTTGTGTTTTGAAGGAAAGATGAGAGCTTCCTGGAAGATGATACTTTCAGAGCGTCAGCAAGCTGAGTGTTTCCTTCAAGCTAGAGCATCAGGACAATGACCTTCAAATACAATGGATCTGGGGTATGAGAGAGCTTTTAAATTTGTGAGGATCCCAGAGTTACCATAATTGCCTTCCAAATCACAAAGGGTTATAAATGTAATAAAAATGCCTCTGGCATTATCCTTTCATACTAGAATGTTCTCTAACTAGTCCCATTCAAGTAAGTCATGCTTGCCCTCCTTCAGGTAACAAAAGAGGCCTCTTGATTAAGAAAGAACAAGACAAGCCCCAAATTTCAGTAGCAACTGAAGCTCTTCTCATAAGAAACGAGAACATATGCTCAGATGCTATCATATACTCGGGATCTATCTATGAGGTGGTATTCGCACTGCCTTCTAGGTCTGTCTGTGGTAGCTGTTGGGAGAGCCCTTGATTTCTCCATGAAGAGTGCATGGCACCTGCCTACTTAAAAACCCAGCCAATACTAGCTACCCTATCGTATGCATACATACAGCTTCTTAGAGACTACAGGAGTCCAGTGGGCCTTCCAACAGGGTGCAACCATTCATGGTAGACAAGCTGTCAGGGTCAGTCGAGGCAGAGCAGAGACGTGAACCCACATTTTGGCAGCCTTAGCAGTAATCGGTGTCCAAATATCTGCAGTGTAGTCAGAAGCCAATCTCCTTTGTGGTAAGGAAGGTAGGTTTTTCCTGTATGGACCCAGCTGATCATAGTTACCTGGTAAGTACCATTCTAAGAAATGCAGATTTATGACCCCTAAAATCCCATTTGAAATGGGGAGACCTAGCATGAGCTTTACAGTTTATAAACTGACAAACAGAGGCCTCTGAAACACAAGTGTCAATAACTGTCATTACCCTGTCAGAACTGCTGCCACCAAGTCCCCAGTTTTGACCCTCACGCTTCATGATACAGCCATGCAGGTAATCACAAGTCAGCCTCATGAAAAGGTGACAGGCAGTCTCTCTTTTCAGCCCAGAGGACACCAATTCCTGCCAGTGAACAATGTCCAAGAACCCAGAAACAATATTAAAACAGCAGTTAATGCTGATGTCTTCCTCATGGTTTCTGGAAGAAAAAAAGAAATCAAGAGAAAGACAGGAACCAGGATACAGCCCTGCTCTGAGTTCAGGGCCATTGCTTCAAAAGAATGCAAGATGTTCTATGCAGCCACAATAGGCCCAGGACCATCTTCCCAGACTGCTGGGACAGCCCAAAGCATGGCAGATTCCAATTCCCACAGCCCCAACCTAGAGCCACCTGTCCCCTCCCTAGCTGTGACCTTGGGCAGTTTACTTTCTCCTCATTAGGGTTCAGTTTCTCGTCTGTAAAACAGGGGAAATAACACAAACTTCAGAAGGCCTGAAAGGTGTTACTCAGTTAATGTTCCAGAAAGCACGGGGCATGGGGGAGGCTTCCTAACTGCTGGCTGTTGCCACCATCAGACAGACATCCAGCAGTGTCAGTCAGCAGTACGCTGGCTCTGTAGAACCAATGCCCTCAATCTCTCAGGTCTGCTCTTCTCCTCCATCCACTGCCAAACCATGCTTCAGCCTGGACAAGCGCCATAGCACCCTCTGACCCCAAGCCCCCAGCTGATGCATGGTGCTTAAACAGAGCCTGAAAGATGCTTAATATATATC